AGCACTTGGCACATTTAATAAAACAACATCATGGGATCTCAGGCAGTAAGTACTTTCAATTCGTCGAGAGATCAGAGAGCAGATATAAAAAGGTAGTTTACCCAACATGGCTTAGATGGGAGTGAGGTGGTGTTTATGTGAAAGTGACAAATAGTATGAACATCTGAAGCTTCTTAAAGGCTGAAGCTAAGGGGGTTGGATTTTGTATTCATAAAGAAGATAACCATCATGCCGTTCTATGAGATGAACACCAGTGATGTTTTGGTATGATTTTGAAACTGCACGAGGTGGACGTGTAGAATATTTGGCTAAAAGGATACGAACATTGACAGCATCAGCGTCTGTGCTCAGCAATCTCTTCACCTCCTTTTCCACATCAGGAGATTCAATGTACTGCAAGAGAGAGAGAAAGAGATTGGGTTACAAGGAGTGTTAGCGGCATCTATCTCGCTCTCTATCGCTGCGTCTCTCCCACACACACACACTCAAAGGTAGCAGCTGGCCACATGCCAGAAAGCACATTAGCGATTAAAAACAGAAGGGGCCAAATCAATATGCCTCGGCTGTGCACCGTCAGAGATTTATTCAGAAGCCAAAGTAGAAGTGTAGTGCTCAAGCACACTCGCTTTCACTTTGATCAAGGCAATAGAGAAATTGCTTTTCTGCATACCTTTGGGGCAAACTAAGATGGAAGGGCTTTATTTATATGTAAATCTTAGTTTTCACTATCACCACAGTTTCTGTTTTATGAAATGTAAATGTGTTGTTGGAAGAGAGCCTAGGAAAGAGATGGACAACCAGACGCTAAAGAGATGGATGAGAGAGGGGAGGGCAGAGCTGAAGGGAAATTAATATGTCAAAAACCTTCTTTTTTGCAGTTTTCCTAAATCTTCTCTTGCGTGTGTTCTTCAGGGGGCAAGTAACTGGAGACAAAAACAACAGGATGAGTTAAGGGGAAACGGCTCCATATCCTGTGAAAGTAAATGTATGGTTCCTGCATTGCTGATGTGCCAAGAGTTCAGCACTGACAGCTGTTAGATATCTGTCTACTTACTGCCGTGGTTCCAAACAAATTTCTTGTCCTTATCTTTGTCCTTCTTCTTGCTCTTGGGGTCGGTTCCAGTTGGCTCCTCTAAAGGAGGGTAAAGGTCTCCATCTAGTGTACATACCAGCATCTAACCCAAGGATGCAAGGAATACATAGTTCATTACTCTGCAGTCTGTTGATTCATGTTGTTAATTAAATGTTAATAAAACTGTTTAATAAATGAATATCACATCTTTCATTTCTAATGCCAGGGTGCTGATCTACCAGGCTTTTTATCCACGTGTCATAATCCATGTATCCTGTAGGTAAGACGTCCTGAATGTAATGCCACTGCAGAGGTTTACCTGGCAGACATCTGCAGTCTTGTAAAATGTCTTCTTGTCCACGGTTTTCAGAGACTCAATCATACAGGGCAGATCCACCAGTTTGCAGGCCAGAGGGACGCGGTCGACTCGCACTATGCCGTGACGACCATCAGCTACGAATGAGAGGGACCACATCATTCGTTATAATGGCATGTTGTGTGTGAGATAAGCATTGTCATTAGGACACTGCAGTCACTGTTAAGGTGAAAAGTGGTTAGTACAAATGGTTCTCAGACATCTAAAGATGATTAGGTCATGAAGACCATGACACTTGAGTTTGAGGATCATTGTAGTAAGTAATGTAGTGTAACAAAACTGGATAAAAAAAAAAGGCCATTTTCACATATTTGCAGTTAAAACTATTTTGAGAAAATGCCAATGTTTGTGAATTGAAATATATCAGTACCCTAAAAATAAACTACAACAAATACAAAAGATTAAACATCTTTCACTGTAGGAATACTTTCACATATTCTGTACTGAATTTTAAATCAATATAATTACATCTTTATCAATAGACAGCGATAAGATAAGATAGTGATTAGTAAGACAAATTAAAGTGTTGTTTCAACAGTAATGTCACACAGGTCGGACACAAAAACCAGGACTAAGAGCACCGAGAAATGTGCTTACGATGCAACTCGATGGTGAGTCTGTCTTTAATGTTCTGGCTGCTTGACTGTGCAATCCTTCTTACTGTCGAGGCGTACTCCTGTAAAAGATACATGTTGAATCCACATCATTCTCAGCAAATGATCACATGGGATTTTATAGAAATAATCTGTTTCAGTTTGTCTCACCGAAGGAAGCCTCAGGACAAACTGACTCTCCAACTCATAAGGAGCGTCCTCCTTATTCTTTGAGCCGGCCTTCCCCACTAGAATCAAAACAGACCAGCATGAACACCATGGTAGAAAAGCTTCTCAGTATTCAGGTTATTTACTTAAGTATAAGTATCAATATTATAGTGCGAAAATACTCTCTGCTACAATTAAATGTCCTGCATGCAAAATTGTATTAAAATACACTTTAAGTACCAAAAGTAAAATGAATCATTATGCAGAAAGGCCTATTTAAGCAGCATATATTTTAAATGATTGTATTATACTTATTGATGCAATAATGTTTTCCTCACTTCAGTCTTGTAATTGGTAAACGTGTGGTATTTGAATTACTTGAATTACTATTGGGTGGCTTAACCTTCAATACTATATGATAATGTGTTTGTTGATTTATATTTTTACTAATAACATAAGTCTGCAAAGTAACTAGTAACCAAATATGTTAAATAAATGTAGTGGAGTAAACAGGTACAACATTTTCAGACCAATTGTAGTGGAGTAAAAGTATAAAGTACCATGACATGAAAGTAATGTAATAGTAAAGTACAAGTACCTATATGTGCAATGTACATATTGACATTCCACCACTGGTTCGTCATCATTATACCTTACAGGCAACACTATCAAGACGGCTCTCAAGATGAATAGTTATTATTAGTTAAATAAGAGGCAGACTTAATTAGTTTGAAACATCATAGTATGAATGTAAGACTGTGTTTAGCAGATGTTTAAGTCAAGTGAGTGACCAAGGACGAGTTGAGTAAAGTACGCACAGTGGTGTAAAGCAACTAAGTAGTTTTACTCAAGCACAATTTTAAAATAATTGTCCTTTACTTTTTATTTCAATGTTACCTACTTTGTTTTCCTACCCCACTATAATTCAGAGGTAAATACTGTAGTTTTATTCCACTACATTTATTTATTATTATTACATTTAGTTACTTTGCATATTTTAATTAATGATTTGAAAAACAATCAACACCTAAATAACACTTACAGTTCCAAAGCTACACTGCAGTATACAAAGTAATACAAATTGGCTGCATCTTTACCAGCTTGGATAAACAGCTTCAATAATTATAATCAAAACATAATATGTATATTATTCGGAAATGGGCCAATCTGCAAAATTAGTACTTTTACTTTTGGTACTTTAAGTATATTTTAATGATCATACTTTTGTACTTTTACTTGAGTAACATTTTGATTGCAGGACTTTCACTTGAAACAGAGTATTCCTACACTGTGGTACTTCTACTTTTACTCAAGTACAAGATCTGAGTACTTCGATCTCCTCCTCTGGGTACGCCTGAATCAACGTTACACATCTTTTACTTTACATACCGTTAACAAGCAACCGGTGTATGATGCTACAGACAACCCTGATGAAACCGTAACTAACTAGTGAACACTGTTGTTCATGTCTACAGCAACATTATCTTAAAACGTTCCACTTGTTACTTGTTCTAATGAATTGATTTCAACAAAATTGCATTAGCGGGGACGATATGTTTACAAAAGAGGGTTCTTCTAACGTTAGCTATCATTAGCTTAGCAGTTAGGCTAAACAATTACAAAGGCTTTTAACGTACCTTTCACTTTAGATGTCATCTTCGTTGCTGTAATTTGGACAGTAAAGGGGCCCAAATCAGCTTAAATCGTAAAAAAGAATGCCCAAATATGTTGGGTTTGATTAATAGACAACACAGCTTACCAACACGAAGCTGACATTAACATGGCTGAGAGAAATATGGGATGGTGATTGTGTTGACTAGTGCTACATTCAGGTACTCCTCGGACATTTCCAACATTTCTAACATCTATCAGCACACTTTCCAGTACCCGACCAAAAAAGAAGATAAACGGTATTGCCCTTTCTCAGAGACACTTCATACCTTCCAGTATATCTCTGTTAAATAACCACAAAGAATATGATAGATGTTATCATTTTGTTGTAGAGTACTAATGTGACACATGTTAGAGCACTACGTTGTTTAACAGCATTGTCTTTTGTTGGTATTGTATTTGACTTGCAAACTAACTATCCAGTATACACTTCATTGCATTTCTTCAATCAAATTAAATTAATCACATTTTCTACTGGACAGAAAAAACAATGCTAGTTTAGCTAGCTTATGTGTAATTTCCGATAATTCCGAACGTCACATTTAGTCTCGTCTAGTTTTCTGTATCGCGAGACTTGTTAGACAGATCTGTTTCGGGGGGAAAATACATGGATGTATAATAACAACATATTAGGGAAAATATCATACTAAAATATATTGTGTTTAGAATTTTTTTAATATTACGGTTATCTGTTTTCATGATGTTAGACGTATTCATAGGTTGTACTATGTGGTAGTAATAAATAACGCCCTGGATAAAAAGATGTGTATTTTATCGATTTTTGACAACATATGTTGTATTAAACAACACATATTTAATGTTGCACATATTAGTGCCACGTTGATCAAATAAGAGAACTAGTTAATAATAGCTATTTATTTTTTACTTCCTGTAAAAAATAATGAAAACAGTAGATTTCATAATAAGAGTCCTCAGTTAGAACAAGTAACACCAGATATGGAAACACCCAATTTAAAAAAGGCCAAATAGATGACGTTGTTCATTCACAAATTGGATAAATTACACATACGCTGATAATTATGTTCAACGGTTTATTTTAACAAGCGACATCATGACATGGTGCTTTTACATCGGAAAAAACATTGAACACTTTCTGGAAAAAAGTAGTTTTCACTTCCGGGCCGGAATCGACTGCTCTGTTGCTGTCGTCTTTCTGCTCTCTTCTCCCCCCAGTTCGTGAAGCACATTAGGACAAAGTTTGCTTTTATCCACGACGACACTGCAGCATTTGACTGCAAAAAAAGCCGTCATGGTGTTTAAATTCACTGTCAGCAGCGCCTGGAGGGCAACGAGGACGCTGTGGCTTCTCATGCTAGTCACTGTGTCTGTGAGCATCTGTGTTTGCCGAGCAGCATCTTCTCTGGAGGAGGACAGTGCCATGGAGAACATCGTCACAGAGAAAAGGGCTGAGGAGAGCCACAGGCAGGACACCGCGGACCTGCTCATCTTCATCATGCTCCTCACCCTCACCATCCTCACCATCTGGCTGTTCAAGCACAGGCGCTTCAGGTTTCTGCATGAAACTGGACTGGCCATGATTTACGGTGAGATGCTCCACCGTGACCGAGAGACGTCATGAGAACGATCATGATGAGGATGTTGTGAATGGTTGCATTTCAATAACTAGATCTGCTCTACAATCCCCGGAAATAAGATATGAAGCTGTGGCGCATGTTGGTACATTTAGGAAATAACAAGAGACTGAAGGAAATAACAACATAAGGCAAACTACACACTGCAAAAAAAAAATCAATCAAAAATCACAACAGATGAAGAAATCTTTCCTCCTAAAGGACAATGTCAAACCAATTTGTATAACTATTTTACTGCCAAATGTAAAACACTGTTACAATAACCTGCAGACATCTTGTAGTATTACCTTGAGTAGTATGGTGGTGATAGTTTCATATATTAAGATATGTATATATACCCAATCTTGATAACAACAAAATAAAATAGTAACTAAAATCCCAGAAAATCTGACTTATTTTCAGGGAATACTTGTAATATTGCCGTTTTGTTTTTACATCACACTAGACATTACTTCAAGTTCAATGGGATGAACAAACTGTGTATTAGAAACACTTCTAAAGCGTTCTACATAGATTAACACCACAGACTATAACATTGAAAAGCGTTCAGAGACATGCAAAAGTGGCATGTGAGGAAAATAACTAATTTCCGATAATGGGCCTAATAGAGATATTCGGTGGCCTGTTCTATACCTAATTGGGTATAGCAGTATAATGGTTCCAGATAGATGCTATAAAGTAACACGCTTTTTTTTACGGCAGTATAAACATCAACCTGCTTGATCTTGAAAATTACATCCAGGCAGCTGTTGTGTTTTGTTTGCCACCCGTTGCATTGAAAAGTAGTCCCAAAATGTCACTTCTCTAAACTGTGGTGTCTAGTAAAAGAGCTCGAAACACACATCATGTCTGGCAGGCTGCACAATGTGTGACTGACTGTTTCCTCCTTTACTGAAAAAACAAAAAAACCCCTGGTTGGACAAACACCACTCACTGGCATCTCTAGGTTGTTGACAACATTATTTAATCTAAAGTAAATAACTTTATGAATGGATGAGAAGTTGGTCATGCTGTTGTAGAATTATGTTTAACTTGCAAATATGTTTTTGCTTGTATAGCCTGTTTTTTTCACAGCAAACATTTGGACATAGTAGGAAAATACACAAAACAAAGATAACAAATGATATATTGTGCAGTACAAACTATTAAACAATAACCCTTTAAAACAACAGCAACCACAACAACGTCACAACAAGTCAATCACAACTGTGTGTCAGTTCCAGGATTGTTGCCTTGCTGGCTCACTGGCTTGGCACACTGGAGAACTTAAATGGCACAGAGCCATCCACAACAGGGTAATCTCTGCCTGCTTGAGAAGTCAAAATGTCTGGTTCTAAAAAGGCCGACATATTCTTAAAAAGTGTGGACATGTTCAAACAGAGCTTGACATCTTGTACTCTATTATATGTTAGTTTTGCCAGGTGGCGACATTCTTATTTTGATAAGCATTTGTGTTTGTTGTCACACAGCATAGCTTCACTCAACATTCTTCAGAGTCAATAATCAGCTTAAAACCACAGCACGATACCTGTGTGGCTGTGCTTTGCTTTGCATTTTTGGATGTACGAGGGCCTTGTTTTCCCAGCTCATATCTGAAAGGGCATTTCATTCTCAAATTCATTTGTTACATGTCATTTCTACACTCAATTTATGCCATCATTGAGTTTTGGCTTTTTGAGGAAGTTGCCTTTTTTTTCAATTGGTTACCACAGAGTCATCTTGCTTTACGTTTGATGCGTCCCTGAAACCAGGCAGTCCCAGAATCATGAACACCATATGTTCACTTCTCTATCAACAATATGTTCACTTCTCTATCAACTTCTCCTTGTACATTTTCCTTGTTGGACTTGGTAGCACATAGAGCTTACATAAATGAACTTTCCCCCTTCGTTCTCCCTCTTTTTTCCCACTAGGTGTACTTGTTGGCGCGGTGTTGCGCTATGGTATCCATGTTCCTCGGGACATTAGCAACGTCACGATGAGCTGCCACGTTAACGCCAGCCCCGCCACCCTGCTGGTCAACGTCAGTGGCAAATTCTACGAGTACACTCTGAAAGGAGAGATCGGTGCCAACGAGGTCAACGACATACAAGATAATGAGATGCTGAGGAAGGTGCGGTCCATCAATTGAGTTTGAAATATTTGATTGGTTGACATTAGATGTTTTACCACACAACCTGTAAAGTGCTTACTGTATTGTTCACAAGAACGTAACACATTCTAATGAATGACTTTGCTTAAGGATCACTTTGATTTTTTGGAGCCATGATTAGCATGTTGTGGTTCAGTGTGCATCTCTGAGGACTGGGATCATTAGGTGCCCTACTTTTGAAGAAAATCATACCCCAAAAACAACAAATGTGTCCTGGAAGCTACTTCATGACGTCCCAGATGTGCCGTTTATGATTAATTCACTTATTTAAATGATCCAAAATGCATCAGCCAAATAGTATCGATGAAAGAAGTAGTCTCTTTTATTGGTCAATTTGAATTATAACAACTATAATGTGATACTGTTTTTTTTTTATGTGACTAAGGTGACCTTTGACCCTGAAGTTTTCTTCAATATCCTCCTACCTCCGATCATCTTCCATGCAGGCTACAGCTTGAAAAGGGTACAGTAGTATTTAAGCTACTCTCCACTATTGCATATGAACTCAATGGGTAAAATACTTTGACCACATTTGATTCCTAATGGCATACTGTCCTCTCCTCATGAAGTTGAACTTGTTTTCATTTTCTTTCAGAGACACTTTTTCCTTAATATGGGATCCATCCTGGCCTACGCCTTCATGGGAACAGTTGTTTCCTGTTTTATTATTGGGTAAGATTGTTCATTTGCAAAACCTAAAAGAGACATCCATCATTCTGATTTCCCACATATGTCTCTAAATTGCCAGTCTTTAACGCCAATAAAGCCAGTGTTGTTTATGATGATGTGCTGAACCACCTGCTGTCCCTCCGTCAGGCTGCTGATGTATGGCTGTGTGTTGCTGATGAAGCAGGTGGGACAGCTGGGTGGAGACTTCTTCTTCACCGATTGTCTTTTCTTCGGAGCCATTCTCTCAGCCACAGACCCCGGTGCGTATGCTTATTCTTAGTCCTCAAAGTTTGAATTTGCTTACAAGTTACACTCATTATAACCTGGAGTCACTTTTATGTCTTGAATTGCTCCAAACATGTAGTAAAGGTTCTCACAAATAGTCGAAGACACAAGCAACTCATCATACATTTCAATTGTTTGTCGTTCTGTTATGGAAAAGCAAAGCAAAACAAAAAAGTACAACAACAAAAATGGTCAATTGTATACAATATATTCAGACTGGAACAATCAGCATCATGTCTTTTACAGCTGCCCAGTTCTTGGATTTTGCTTTGATAGACACTATTTTACCCACAATGCAAAGGGAGGATGGCGATGTGATCCACAGCTGGTAAAAAGGGTTTTAAACTGGCAAAGGAAAAAGCTCAGAAAACACAAACAAGTGTTATAAAAACTTGGAAAAACATTTTTGCCTTTTTATTTCCTTCATTTTATTTTCCTAATTTGCAGTTTAAAGTCTGTCAGTGCACGTTTTGATTTTTTTTCTATTTTCAATAAAGGGACTATAATAAAAATTGAATTAGAACTGAATGTTGGGCACTGACATGGACTTTTACAGTGTTAATATATGTATGTGATCGACACAACTCTTGACATGACTCTAGCATGCAGAAGACCAGAGGGATTGAGTGTGTTCTTTTTGTTCACAGTGACGGTCCTGGCTATCTTCAACGAGCTGCAGGTGGACGTGGACCTCTACGCTCTGCTGTTCGGAGAGAGCGTACTGAACGATGCGGTTGCCGTGGTTCTGTCCTCGTAAGTTGTTTTGAAATCACATCACTCTCGAACCATGAGTCTGCATGTAACCCTGTCCAACTTCAACGCACACACAGCTGCTCCAATGAGAGAAATGTTCAAGTCATGCCTTTGTATGGATCCGCAGTGACCTTTGAACTAACCTATATAATATCATTTTCTCATTAACGCTATGCTTAACACAAGGTGGTCCAACATCATTTTTATCTCCTCCTCTACGTCGGACTCCACAGAATTATAAATATCAGGCGCAGTGGAGGGGCCGGTCCCCGCAGCGAGACTCAGCCCGGCCCACTGAGCGGGTGCACTAAGTGGAGCATGGCATTGTGGGCCTTTGCGGTGCCTTGGGACAAACATGAACAATCACCAGCCATTTGTTTTCTCAACTCTGGCTTATTCAACCAGAGATGCATTTATTCATACTTTTGGGGTTTCTTGTAAATGGTTTTGTGGTGTTTTGAGTCAGCACATTCATATTCCTATGATTTTTTTGGAGATACTGTAGGCCTATATACAAAAGCCAGAGAGAAGGCAGGGTGCCAGGAATGCTTGTAGACAAAATGCCTGGTGATTTGTTTTGTGAGTGTGGGGGCTGTGGATGTAGACTGCATACATAAATATATATCCCTTTCAAAGCATTTTATCGCAAAAGTACCTCAGCAGAATATTTGTTTCACTTTTTTGAATAACTTTCGTGCTGAATTTTGAGTTATTTTGCTGCGATACAATCCTTCTCATCCCAGCTTAAAGATATTCGACCCAGGTTTGATGCGAGGTTTGATCTTTAAATATGTCTTTTGTTCATTTGGTTGGATGATGGTTCAGTGTTGACTACCACCTGACATCAAGTCGATGGATTACACATTTAATCTTTAATACTGTGCCGTTCACTGTAGCTACCACACAGATATGTCAATGAGCAGCCTTTCAAACATTGGAAGTGTTATAAAGACATTTTCATAAACCCAAACAAGTAGCTCTGTAGTCTTTCTCTCCGGAGAAAACATGGTTGTTAACCTTGTAGAAAGAAAAGTAATGATGTTGAATGTTTGGCAAAAAAAAACACGGCCCCTCTCTTCTTGTTGTGGTTGGTTGTTAAAATAACGTGTAGTAAGACCAGAGCGTTTATTAAGTTTCATCATCTTTTGTTCCAACCCGGCACAAGATCTTTGGGAAATAGTGGATGCATATTGGCTTTAAAGGCATTGACAATTTCATTGAGTTATTTTAAAGACAAACCCCACATCGATCCTTATACTCTGTCATGCTCCCACTTCACTTTATATGAACCACCAGTCAGAATCAACAAGTACCAAAGCAATAATCAGAGCAATACAGATAATGTTCTCAGTGTATTGAAGGTACAAAGTGAAGCCACCCAGAACAAGTTACCTTAGCAAAATATCTTGACCATAGCATCAACTCACCTGCACGACATGCAGTCCAAAGAATAGATGACATATCTTTACTGTTTAACACTGCAATTTCACTCAGAAAGTGTCATGCTTAAAAGTTACTAAGTTGATTATTAACACCGAGTCACATTCGATCCAACATTCTGACTTCTATATTGCTTTTATCTTTATCAGAAGAAGTGTGCTGTGTTTGATGTGACTGCTCTGCTGCCCTTGCTCTAAGCCTGAGTCTTTACTGCAGACCTGCATTCTGCTGCCTTTCTCTCGCCCTCTCATGTTGATCTTCAGCTGTATCTAATAAAGAAATAGAAAAGCATAAAATATATTCTTAAAAATAAGAGGGACCTACTTTAGGCGAGGAGTTTGCTATTTACAGACCAGGTTAGGAAGTTACATCATGTTGTTCAAGCCTTCTGCCTTTTGTGAACGCAGTCCTTTACTTTAGTTTGATAAGCTGTGAAGTGAGTTTTGTTCAAGTTTGTTCATGATTGACTCTCTCTAACTGTTCTTTGGATCAGGTCTATAGTAGCGTACCAGCCACAAGGGGACAACAGCCACACGTTCGAGGTCATGGCGCTGCTGAAGTCTTTCGGGATGTTCATCGGGGTTTTCAGCGGCTCCTTCGCACTCGGAGTGGCCACCGGAGTCGTCACTGCTCTCATATCTTTTCTCTCATTTAATTATTCATTCAATTATTCATTCATTCATATGTCTCCCAACAGTTTTCGTAGATGCTTTAACATGAATTGATTTTGCAGTGTCTTTGTTAAACTCCTTGACTTCTTGTCCGTACGTCACTAAGTTCACTAAACTGAGGGATTTCCCGCTGTTGGAGACGGCTCTCTTCTTCCTCATGTCCTGGAGCACGTTCCTGCTCGCTGAGGCCTGTGGCTTCACAGGTAACACACACACACACACACACACACACACACACACACACACACACACACACACACACACACACACACACACACACACACACACACACACACACACACACACACACACACACACACACACACACACACACACACACACACACACACACACACACCTGGTTTATAAATGTAGTTGCACGAACTGTTGCAGCTACATTCAAGTTTAAAAATCTAAATTTAAATATTTATGTTCAATATCATCAAAGTGTTGTAACTTCACTTTTCAAGTTCTGTTATTATCATTCATCTGCAGAACGATTTCAGTCAACCCTTTTTGGCAATGAACATCTTGGAATGCAGTATCCCTCTGAATATGCTCATGAAATATGTATTTTAAAAAAAAGGACATTTGCAAAAGTAAAGGCAAAATGACAGACTAAGACATAACAACTGTGCAAGTTCAAATAAGGGGCAACATATATATACATCAATCAAATCTAAAATAAAGTAATATGGTACTCAGTATTATAAAGTATACAACATCCAGTCATTTACATACAGAGATGCAAACAGGAATGTCGTTGATGTTTGTGTGTAAGTAATAATCTTCTGTGTCTCCGGTGTGTTGCAGGTGTGGTCGCGGTGTTGTTCTGTGGCATCACTCAGGCTCACTACACCTTCAACAACCTGTCTCCTGACTCCCAGGACAGAACCAAACAGGTCAGACACCACTGCTCCATCTGTTTCTATGGTTCCTCCATGTTTGTGTTTATTTTGAGAGGAGTACAAAGAATTATAAGTGGCATTTTATTAGTGGCTTTTTTTTTACAAAAGTATCACACAGCTATCAGACGTTTGTACATTTACACACTTTAACTTTGTACAATAGTCATAGGTTTGCTGCACTTATGTACTTTCTGATGTATTCGTTTCAATTCACCTGTTGATTGATCTATTGATTTGATAGATTAAAAAAGAGACATTTTATATTATATAATTTATTCTTCTCCACATTCCTGGTTACCCTCAAAATGTGTATCTACATTTCCATCTAAGCTAAAACCCTTTTTTCTCATTCCTCTCAACAGTGTTATTCTAAGTGTTAAGGTGACTTCTTTACAAGTATAATGATACCAAATAACTGCATTAGTACGTGCACTGAAATCGTAAGCTCCACTGCGGTCAAAGCAAAGGAAGCCAGGTGTATTTTGAATCTCTTCCCCTGTGTTTCTGAATGTCATTTGGTTGCTTTTATCTCAATCAGTCGATGTTGTTTTTCTGTGTTGCAGCTGTTTGAGCTGCTGAATTTCCTGGCAGAGAACTTCATTTTCTCCTACATGGGCCTGGCCCTCTTCACCTTCCAGAGCCACGTCTTCAATCCCATGTTCATCGTGGGAGCTTTTGTATCTTTTGCATAACTTGGTGCTCCCAAAGCCTGACGTATCACACCATGTAACTAAGATGGAAGTATCAGTGCAGGAATCTGGACCTGACACTCATTTCAGCACTTTTAAGTTGCAGAGGAAGAGTGTTCCCACGGTATTGCCGTCAACCACCAAGCGGTAATTGATTTGAAGAAGCAGTAAATATGTTTGGCAAAGAGTGAGGAGACTTCAGTAGCTCTCTGTGTTGTCCTCCTTTCCTTAACCTCATTCTCAACCAGGTGGCTGTGTTCATTGGAAGAGCTGCAAACATCTACCCTCTGTCGCTGCTTCTGAATCTGGGCCGACGCAACAAGATCAGATCCAACTTCCAGCACATGATGATGTTCGCAGGTTAGTGGTTTACAGATTGGAGAGGACATGTTCATAAGGGTAAAAACATTTGGGTGAAAGTGAGACCTTTTTGAGGCTTTTAGAATTCTAAAACCTTTCCTAGTTTCCTGCAGCTCACTGTGGATTAGTGAAAGATAACCAACAGTTGTCACCTGATTTGATTTACTTCCTTGTTTGTGCCCTTCAGGACTCCGAGGCGCGATGACCTTCGCTCTGTCCATCAGGGACACGGCCACATACGCCCGTCAGATGATGTTCACCACCACTCTGCTGGTGGTCTTCTTCACTGTTTGGGTTTGTGGAGGGGGCACCACCCAGATGCTGTCCTGCCAGCACATACGGTATGTCTCCTCTTCACCTGTAGGACCCACCAGCCGTGGATCTTAGAACAGCAAACTCCTTTTGAAATGTTTAAAAGTCAATTGACATCCGATCTTTTTAATATGGCTTTTGATTTTGTTTAACTTTCAATTCTCACTGGTATCATTGTCCATGTTTTAATGTATTTTTTCCGTTTTGCTTTAAAAAAAAAAAAAATTCTATTTTAATTTCTTGTCAGCTTTATTCAAGGGCATTTCATTAGGCTCACTGTTGATGTTTTATCTTGTTCTGTATTTATTTTATTATTGTTGTTAGGTTTTCTTTTTGTTCTGCAAAGCATTTTGAGCTGCTCTGTGCATGAAAAGTGCTATGCAAATAACGTTTATTATTATTATTATTATGATTATTCCTGGGTCAAACTGGATTTGCAGCTAGTATTTTTGAACATTGGAGAGGTTTAATGTGTCAGGATAATTTCAGATAACGTCAGAGAAATGTTCTAATGCTTCTTTTGTCCAGACTTCCTGACCCCAATGTTTAACATTTCCCTGGGATTACAACTCTAAATGTCTTTCTATTTAACCTTTGGCTCTGGTGAATGCTCGAGCTTTTTTACAGCACGCCAACATTTTCGCGCAGCCTTTCCTCTCAGGAACTTGCTAAACGGGGGAAACAAGCTTCACAGTTTATACTTGCAACTGACTGACATCTGCTTGTTTGTTCTTCCACAGAGTGGGAGTGGACTCTGATCTAGATAACTCAGTAAGTGTGGCCGTTGAAATACGTATTGCTTCAATGTGACTGTAGGAATACAGCTTAACCACATTTTCTGTGCTTTTACAGTCGAGTATCACTGACGGCTCAGAGAGAAGAAGCACCAAACAAGAAAGTGCCTGGCTCTTCAGAAAGTGGTACAACTTTGACCACAAGTATCCTTCTAAGACAGATGATTGGTTTTCATCAATGTCTTTAACTTCAAGAAACATACTTTTATTTCGTCTCTTGTCTCACTTGACAGGAAATCAAAAAAAAAAAGTAGTCTGTAAAAAAGAAAACAGTGGAAATCAGTCATGAAATAGCATAACAAAAACAGGAATGTTATTCAGTATTAAAAACCAAAAACTACAAAGCCTTTGGTTTGGATAAAGAATAAATTATGACTGAGAGTACTGAGAGTACTACTAGATGCATCAGTAGTTCTCAGCGTCAGTCAGCAGAGGGAGCACCATGTACAGACTGGAGGACAGATGACTCACTTTTAATAACTGGGTAGAATGAAGGTCATTAATGTAAAAGACCTAATTCAATTACTTACATTTGGATGATTTTGCCCTTTAACCTTTTTAATACACTGTCAGCATTTATGAATCACACTATACAGGAATATTATTGTTCCTTTGTTGTGTCTTACCACTCTCCTTTAGTGCTTGTTGTCTATGTATTTTGTCCTTGACTCAAGCCCCTCTCCAGCTACGTGAAGCCCATCCTGACTCACAGCGGCCCCCCCCTCACGGCCACGCTGCCCCCCTGCTGCGGACCCCTCGCCCGCTTCCTCACCAGCCCTCAGGCCTATGAGGTCAGACAGGGGTTCATATGGGAGCTATTTGTGGCCGAATTGTGTTTGTGAAGTTTTATTCTGTTTTAACCAAAGACAAAAAGATACTCTGGTGAGTCATGAAGCAAAAACATTTCAGTTGAGAAATGTATCAGGGCAGACGAGGGAACGAGAATAGATTTGCAAACCTTTTATTAGTAAAAATGAAAGAAAAAAATGAATATAGAAGATACACTTTCCCCACTCTGTTGTGATTACACACATTACACACACAGGGGAGGATATACATGCAGAAACACAGAGGATATACATGCAGAAACACAACCACATGCAGATAGGAGAGGTGGCAGAGCAGAGAGGCTGCCAGGTACCCGGCGCCAAGGGAGCAGTTTCGAGGTTAGGTACCTTGCTCAAGGGCACCTCGGCAGTGGCCTTGGAGGTGAACTGGCACCTCTCCAGCTACCAGCTCACTCCATATTATGTGTCGTGGTCCGATCGGGACGTGAACCGGCGACCCTTCGGTTCCAAGACCAAGTCCCTACAGACTGAGCCACTGCCGCCTCACAGAGTGCTATAATAGCATCTTGCACGATATGTCTGGTTTGTGTGAGTATCTGACGTCTCCTCTCTCTCCCCAGAATGAATGCCAGTTGAAGGACGACGACTCCGACCTCATCCTGACAGACGGTGACCTCAACCTGGCCTACGGTGACATCACGGTCAGCACGGACGCGTCAGGGTCCCACACCAGTGGAGCTCCAGCCTTTGCGGGCGCTTCCACCTCGGAGGACTTGGACAGAGAGCTGACGTACGGAGACCACGAGCTGGTGATGAGGGGCACGCGCCTGGTGCTGCCCATGGACGACTCTGAGCCGCCCTTCACAGACCCCCACCACCGCTTACGGATGTGAAGACCGGCTCTCAGAGCAGACCCAGACAAACCGTCCGCCTCACACTTACCCGAGCCATTGAGCAAAGACCAGTACCTGACACTCCTCCTCTTCCTCCTGCCTCATTCCTCTTCTTACCACACTTTTTCTTCCCTGTTTCATTTTCTCACTTCCTCTAGTGACAAATCAATGTCCCTACCTCATTTTCGCTCTGCTCTTCTCACACCTCTCTGGCATCTGCCATAATTGTAATATAGACTTATTTATTTGCAATTCTTTCTTTTGATATTCAATTATCTTAGTTTGGCTTAAAGCGGTGTGTCGGTCACCTTACTGTAGCATTGCAGAGGTCTAGCAGCATGTGTTAGTGTGTAAATGCAAGTACCAACCACTAGCTTATTTGTGGATGTACAGTATATCACCAGAGTACTATAACTTTGATATGCATGCTGAGGATGCTTGTTTTTTTTTTTCTTCGTATGGGAGGCTGAGGGCTTTCTGTGAATTGGGACTGACCTTGAATGTTGCTGACCCAGTGGACGACTTTACTGTAAGTTTTGTTACAATCAAGTGCCTGGGAATTGTAGTTTTAAGCCTGACAACCCATGATCAGCTCTTGTAAGCAGAGCCAGTTCAGGATGGGCGGTAGTTTTCCTTTGTAAAAAAAGAAAAGAAAATACAAAAACTATCCAGACATCTCCGTCCATAAGGTAGCAATATACTCAGTGAGTGTTTGGGCTGTCAGTTTGTGCTATTGGCCTGTAAATAGTCTGTAACAATGTGATGCCACTGATGCAGTGTAACCTGGCAGTGAAAGTTGTTGATCTCTCCCAATGACCTTTGACTGTGACATAGAGAGGGACTTTACACCTTATTTTAGAAGCTGATGTCGCTCACAGCAGATTGAAGGGCTGTTGTTCCGAGATCTAAATTAAAAGAGAACGATTTGTGCCATTTCTGTCCTGCATTTGGACATTTTGTGAAAACAGAACGCAGACGACCTTTGTATTATTTCTGCAACAGAGCTTAATTATTTTAAGCCGAGTCACATTTTTCATAAACATTTAACTTTGTGCATACATTTTCTATTTCAATCGTACATTAATTTAAGACTTTGGATGAACATTTTCTGATTAGAAGAAGTTGAAAAAACATAGAGATCAACCGGACTCTTAAGGAAACTGTTATTGGTTAGTCATTTTTTACCAACAATAAGAACGTAGTACCATGTTACTTGTAAGCACACTAACTCACAATTTTATGAATACGATTAAGCTTGATTTTGTTTTTCATATCAACAACCCATAGATATTCACTTTATACTCATGGAAAACGAAGAAAAATAAGCAAATGTTTAGATTTGAGAAGCTGGACGCAGTGAATGTGAGGCATTTTTGCTTAACAAATGTAATTATTATCAAAGAAAATTGTTTGTCAATCGACTAAACAATAGAGATAAGATTAATGAGGACCATAAAGTCTGTGAAGAAGACGGAAAAGTCTTCCTGATTATTATTTGAATCAATGTATTTCTGATATTAAGCTTGACGCTGCGACAGTTCATCATTATGAGAAGAATAGTTGATGTGCTGGATGTTTCTCTCTGCTGTACACAATTGTGATCTCGAGGGGTTAATGATTGTCGGTCAGCTGTTACTGCGGGTCTTACAGGAAGTGTTGATAGGGTGTCACCGTGGCAACGCTGTATTGATGTTAACTGAAGCCAAAAAACAGTTTGAACGTGTTGACTTATTTTAACACTACCGTTTTGTGGTCTATCGTCTTGGTGAGCTGAATAAACAAATGTTGGTGTTTGCAAAATGGAAGCCCGAGAAGATTAAAGGGTTTCTTAAAAGAGTGAAAGTAATATAAGATAGAAATGAGGAATGGGGGAGGGGTAGTCGGACGTGTGTTGGTGATGATACAGAGGTGGAAGGAAGAGAAGACTTTAAGATATTGCTTTTCCTTCCACAGTTATCTTCTGCTGTGCAGGAACTCCTAATGGAAAGTGTTCACAACTTATTGACACTACATTATCCAGGAAACTCTTTTCTTTCTACCATTTTATACTTTTTGTCCGTGCTATTATTTCATTTTATTTTGTGTCAGCGAGATTATGAAAAAAAGAAAGCTGAATGATTTGCACTCATCCCTGAAGAATGTTTTATTGTTTTTCCTCTGGTGTTTTACCTCACAGCTGCTTTTATATGATTTTCCTTTATGTTCTGAGAGGTTGTTGAATAATTAGCTCATTTAAATCAGTTTAATGAATCTTGATCAGTAGACGTTGAGTTGGTTTATTGATATTTCTTTGTAAATAATTCATTCCACATTGCAGTGACCACAGAGAAGGATATATACAAGTCATTTTATACTGTTGTTTCATCTCATCCATTCAGGTGTTAGTTTGATGCTGTGGACACGACTTCTACAGAGCATGAATCATTCATCTGAAAGGAAGAACATATATACAAGCAGAGTGTGTGCCGCTGATCTTCAACTGACATGTGAAATAATGTGAAATCTGCAAAAGCTGAAATGTTGGTGTTTGCGTACTGCTCTGCCAGCGTCTCTCTGTTCTCTGTTCTCTGAATGGTGACTTGTGATCGACTTTTATCGTTGGAAATCCTGTCTGAAGTAGCTGACCAAAGAGGCCTGCTGTGCTTTGTGTTTTCAGACAGTCCACCCTATCTTTATACTGCAAACTCTCTTTCTCTCTCTCTGTGTGTGTGTGTGTGTGTGTGTGTGTGTGTGTGTGTGTGTGTGTGTGTGTGTGTGTGTGTGTGTGTGTGTGTGTGTGTGTGTGTGTGTGTGTGTGTGTGTTTAAACATTCACCAAGTTTAAAAGTCTTTCTTTATGTCACGTTCAATGGACCTCATTTAATGAAACAAGAAAATCAAAAATTATTGAATATAAAGAATTGTATCCCAGATGGAGGCAGAGTGGTGTTAATATGAAAGCCACACCCTGCACAGCAAAAGACTGATGGCATTTTATTCTCAGGCACGATTTGTGCCAGATATCAGGTAACATGTTCCTTATATGGGCACAACTCCCTCCAGTAGGCTCAAGAATGTCTGTATAGTGGAGTAAGTCCAGGGAGGAAATAGCTGTTTTAAAGGGACACTTAGCTCTTTGGCTTGTGTGGATAATAATAGAGGTCTCTCAGCAGCATTACACTTGATTTCCTCACATTTCTTCATTTTGTCGAATGCGTCAAATCAATCAAGGATCATTCCACCATTTTCACACTCATAATAAAATATGTAATGCTTTTAAATAAAGCAAAGAGTTTCACTTACAAGGATTTCCACAAAATGAGGCTCTTGACATACATACCAGATGGAGGTTTATGCTGTGCATCCTCTGTTGCATTTAAATGCATCCTCAATACTGGATTCTTTAGGGAAATGCTAGCCTGCCATTATTCTTGGAAATGTTCACAGTGAAATATCTCCAGCCAGATATGTAAAGGACACTCACAGATTATAAACATCTATCCAAAGTATCAACAGTGAAATGGGGTAATGGGTTACCAAGTGTAAGCTTTTTTACAAGTAGAAAAAACAACATACTTGTTGTCAGAGTTGTTTATAAGAGCCTGGTCACCTTAAACACTACAGACTTGACCTTAAACCTTCCCTTCATCTCTTCATGCTGACTTTACAAACAAACGAATCCTCCCTCTCACCTTAGAGTCAGATGTTTCCTCTGGATCCTTGGATGGAGCTCTGAGAGCTGTTTAGTCTCAATGACAGCTGAAATTAAAGCTGGCATCTGTTTAGAGGATCACTTTTTGGGCATGTCATCATCTATTTGTAATTGTAATGGCTTAACTTTGAGGGTTAAGTGTACAGGGCTGCATGTATTTACTTTGGTGCTAAGACTGAGTCATCTTGATTCTTCTTTTCATTACCAAAGAAGGAGAGGAGTGAGGAAGGGCAAACGTGTGAATAAGTTAGACCATCTTTAATAGACACCAGAAATGTTTACATATTAAAACAATGAAACATAATAAATGGAGATCAGCCTAGCTCTGACACAGACAGGCCATTATTAAGTCTGCCTGCTCGTTGATGCAGAAAAGTTATGACTTAATTGTTTTTTCTAGAATCCCGTTTGCTTCGAGTGCCAATGAGAACTTTACTAAGAGATCTTGTAAATTCCTGGTTGAGGTCATTATTTATGAGAGCTTGCAGAGGTTTGGCTCATGTCCTGAAGTGTTTTTCTCTTGCTCCCTCTGTCTTTTAAAGCTGCGTTGCCTCCGCAGATTTTACATTTGAGCTGAAGCCACCGGACACACAGCTGCTGCTGCTGTTTCAGAGAGAGACGCTCATCTGTTCGCTCTGGAGAGGTGAGTCCAAAACCACAGCTCTGTTTCACGCAGGTTATCAGACAGCTGCTCTGTTCACAGGACAGAGGAAGTTTATCACCAGCCGGCTATTCGGTCCATTTAGGATTAGTTATGTCAAGTGCGTAATTGCTGCGTTTAACTCATCGGGTGGAGATTTCCGATATAATTGAGATCAGTTACATCCTGAGTTACAAACAGAGCGTCCACAAATACATGTTTCAGTCCACTTCAGTTTAGTTGGAGCACAGTGTTTTGCTGCCTAACAGGTGATGAACTGTATTTGTCAATGCACATGTGTTACTATCCATTTGCGTGCATCTCTATAGTTCCACCCACGTGTTCATATATTTTGGAGAAACATACTTACACCTTTTTTTTTTTCTTTAAAAAAAAAAAAAAACGTTTATATTTTAGCTATCAGTCAGTGATTTATATCCTTTTAAAATAAGAGCGATGTTGTTCATAGCCAGAATAAATAGATTTATTTATGATTTGATGCTAATTTCTAATTATGCTCCTTTACATCTATTCTTAACTGTATTAACAGCTTTTAAATGGCTAGTTCTGGAAACAAAACTATGAATACTTCATAAAATGTTACACTGTTACAACCAAAACTTTTAAAAAAATGTCATCAAACCCATTAAGATATTGGTTACATATAGCAGTAGCCTACATTGAGAATTATGGTACAATACAATAGTTTAGATAGAAGTTGTGAATGTATGACATTTAAATATATGACATTAAGGGTCTGAATACTACTTTCATTACCCCTCATACATAACATAATGTCTATTTGTAAACCGTAACAATATGATGTACTCCAGCTCAATGAGGACATTGTGATATTATTAATGGACATGTTGTTATTGTATACTGTCGGTGGACTCCTGGCATCCCTATAATGAACAGCAGAGCGCAAAGGCACCATCATGTGTGGCTTGAAACTGTTGAAACCTAAATCACCGTCTCCTCCCTTTCTGCTTTTGGCAGCTGCCAAACCAAATGCATGATGTCATTAAAGAGACCTGGAGATTAGCTCCTTTTTCTCTGGCACACTGGACCTCCTTATGGCTTAAGTATGACTTCACCATCCTTCAAAAGCCATAAAAACGTTGAACTTCACCAAGTAATAAATTAACCCACATTCAACTTCAAAAGACTGCTTTTTCTTTTGGGCTTGGATTTTTATGCTGCAGTTTATACATCAATTTTAGGACTACTAATTGTATATAATAAGTATTTTAATTATAAATGTCTGATATAAAATAAGCATACAAACAGTCCAGCAGCACCATAACAGATTGTTCATTCATATGTAGAATTCAGCAAGAGGACATTTTCCACACTTGGAACTTTAGTGCCTTCAAATTATTCAGGCAGAGACATTTCATCATGACTTTTATTCTTCAAGTGGAGCAGAGAAACATACAGAAAAAGAAAAGAGAGAGAGTGTGTCTGAGAGCAGATGATCGAGTTGATGAGACACATGAAACAGCGCTCTCAGCAGACCAGTGCAATACTCCTAAATAGGCAACGCTGCTTGTTTGTCTGTGTTGGCTGAGTGGAGGCAATCATCTCTCTTGTGGATGTTGAACTTCTTGTCTTGCGCTGCTTTCCTCTTCCTCTCCTCTCTTCAGCTCAGAGCCTCAGCTGAATTGAACATTCTTACTTTCAAATAAAACAGAAAGAAAGACAAGAGGCGAGAGCAAAAGCCACGATAAGAGGAAATGAAAAGACTGTACGATTTTCAGAAGAGAAGAAGCTAATGTGTTCAGGATTTCATGCAGGGCTACAAGAGTCAGATGGGGATTTATTAATAACACAGTTAATGTTTACTTTCTATATTTCTTCATTCAAAGTAAACGGAGTAGCCTCTTATTGTAGCATTAAAGTAGAGTGTGTCCTTTTTGTTGTTGTTGAACAAACACATTATTCAAAAGTAAACTCATATTATAGTATTTCAAAAAGAAGTATTTCATCTGCCAGAAAAGTTTTACATACATGAAGACTCATCACATTTTAGAAGCTGATCATATGTTGGTTATTCAATTATTCTGCAAAGCTTTTAGTAACTAACTGTTATTATAGCTTGTTCAGATCGCTAAAGAGAGTGCAACAAATATTTGCCTCTGAAATAAAAGTACAGTCTTCAAATAAACTCCTGTAAAGTAAAAGTACCCTTAAGTTAAGGGGATAACAGAAATCGGCTTGGATTAGCTACTGAGAGCTGCTTGTGTGGGAAAAAAATAGTCTCTTATTGTGAACATTTACATATAGAATATTAAAATGTAAATTAACATGATGCCAGAACATCACATGTCTCAGAAATGACAAAATAGAGATAGACAAGATTTCAGATGATTTGTATGTATCTTCAAGGAAGTCACTACTACAGCTTCCTTAAAAATGCTGCTCCTCACCTCAGCAGAAAGGACTCACTGTGTCTAGAGGCTCGGGTCATGTGAGACGAGAGCTCAAGTGCTTGCTGGCCTACA